CGGAGCTGCTGAGGGGGGGGGATGTCACGAGTGCGCTGCTGCCGCTGCTGCTGCTGCTGCTGCTGGCGCTGACCACCACCGGAGCCGACCCTCTGCGCAGCGCCACCCCGACCAGCTCCACCTCCTCCGCCGCCGCCTCCTCCACCGCCGCCACCTCCGCCACCTCCGCTCCCACCGCCACCGCCGCCGCCGCCTCCGCCTCCACTGCCGCCACCGACACCTCCACCCCCGCCACCACTCCCACCACCACCCCCACCCCCTCCACTGCCGCCACCGCCACCTCCGCCACCCCCGCCAGCCCCTCCAGCACCCTTGCCCCCCTTGCCCTTGCCGGTGCGGCGTCTCCCGCTCGGGGCAGACGCAGCGCCGACCGACTCGAAACCAACGAGGTCGGCCGCAGCAGCAGAGGCAACAGAGGGCAAAAGGGGGGAGGGGGAACACCCCTCAAAGACGGGGGTGCGAGGGTCACCACGAGAGGCTCCTACAGCGACTATGCTCTTCTCTGCTGCTAGGAGGGCCTTCTCGAGGAGGTCAACGGTGAGAGTGGTGGGGCAAACTGAGAGGAAGTGGTCCCTGACTACGCGAAGGGAGTCAGGGAGCCGGGTGACTATGTAGTAGAGGGTGATGTACATGGGGGGGGGGTTCTTGGCGCAGAACTCAGCAGGAAGCGCAGTGCGGTAGCGAGTGTCACTAGTGCGGAGGTGCGTAATGAGGTCAGCGACTGTGGGAAAGGCAGCAAGGTCAGGGAAGAGGTACGGTAGCATGAGGCGGCTCAGTGCAGCAGTGGCAGGGGAGGAGTAGCGCGCAACTACAGCGTCGTACAAGGTGTGAGCACTCTTGTACTGGCTAAAGTGCGCACGCTCAGAGGTAGGCAGGTGGCGACGCACAGCAAGACGTGCAGCAGCATCGCGTGTGGCCCACTGTGAGCGAACAGTGGCGTCGGCATCAGCAGCAGGGGCAGGAGAGGCACCAGAGGTGAGGTCAAAGAGGGAGAGACCGTCTGCCCTATCGCACTGTAGGAAAAGTTGCAGGTCATCTACCCAGACGTCAAAGTCAATGGCCCGACCCTCAACGTCAAAAGCGAGGACACTAGGGGTAGCCATGACAGCAGTAGACTAGCAGCGCGAATAGTAGGGTAAGGGCAGTGCAGTGACAGAGGCGCTGCTCTTACCGGACAGGGCGGCTCGAGCGGCTCGGCGGGTCGGCAACTCGGCGGCTCGGGCGGCTCGGGCGGCTCGGCGGTACGGCGGCTCGGCAGCAACTGCGACTCGGCGACTCGGCGGCTCGGGCGGCTCGGGCGGCTCGGCGGTACGGCGGCTCGGCAGCAACTGCAGCTCGGCGGCTCGGCGACCCGGCGGCTCGGGCGGCTCAGGTGGCGCGGCGGCTCGGGCGGCTCTGGTGGATCGGGCGGCTCGGCAGTAGCTCGGCGGCGCCGGCGGCTCGGTGGTGACGGCCGCGTGGGGACGGCGGCGGGGCCGGGTGGAGCGGCGGCGGGGCTGGGTGGAGCGGCGTCGGGGCCGGGTGGAGCGGCGTCGGGGCCGGGTGGAGCGGCGTCGGGGCCAGTAGAGGCGGCGCCGGGGCCGGGAAGCGCAGCTCCGGGGCCGGGAAGGGCAGCTCCGGGGCCGCAGGGGTAGGCGACGGGGCCAGCAGAGGCGGCGCCGAGGCAGGGAAGGGCGGCGCCGGGGCCGCAGGGGTAGGCGACGGGGCCGCGAGGACGGCTAGGAGGGGGGGGTCGCGAGGGCGGCTTGAAGAGGCCGCGAGGGCGGCTAGAAAGGGCCGCGAGGGCGGCGTGAAAGGGCCGCGAGGCGGCGCGACACGAAGGAGCCGCGAGGGCGGCGGATCGGGGCCGCGAGGGCGGCGCGACGCGGCCGCTAGGGCGGCGCGACGTGCAGGGGCCGCGAGGGCGACGCGACGAGGCCGCAGGCGCGACGCGACGGGGCCGCTAAGGCGGCGCGACAGGGTCGAGAGAGGGGAGCGCGACTCGGGCAGTGTAGAGCGCGCTCCCGGCAGGAAAAAAAAGGTGGTGGGCCCTAGGAACAGTTCCCACAGGGGAACCTGCTCTGATACCATGAGAAACTGAACGAGAATGAATTGACTAAGGGAAAGTTGGGTACAAATGTAAACCCTAGAAAACTGTACCCCATATGTGCTACCCCACTATAGCCTACAGTAGCTATGTCATATAAATCTGACATGGTGTACCTCATTGCATCTTTGCCTTGCCTATTTGTACCCTCGATTCTCCTTAGTGAAGCCCTCTTTTGGCTTGCTCTTTCCTCTCGTCACTCTCGCCTGGTTCAAACCCTAGGCTACACGCTACTTTCCTTGTATCGTCATTCAGTAATTCACATTCTCGATATTCGTTTCTGCGCACTCTGCAAGTTCATTCATAACAATACCCATGAATTGGCTGCCTTACCGTCAGGGCTTTTTTTTTTTTTTTTTTTTCACTACTCGGATTTTCAGAGCTGTTTTTTTGGGAACTCTGAAAATCAGGGTTCATTATGAGCGTTACTCTGATTTGTCAGAGAAAAGTTAACTTCTGAAAAAAAAACTCTGGACTATCAGTGCACCTATTTTTCCAACTCTGGGTGTCCTCTCCCACCAAAATTCTAACCATTGTGCTACGTGCTCATGGTTTGTACAGACGACGCATGCTCTATATATTATTACCAGTCTGCCTAGCCATCTTCCTCCAGTTTGGGTGGGGGCTCGGTCGAAATGCCTATACCCTGTACAGAGAAAAATACATTCGCCAGAAATTTACACTGGTCTATCAGAGTGGCTAAAATCAAAACCCTGGCAAATCAGAGAAAACTTATCTTCCAAAAACGTTACCCAGAAACGTCAGAGTGACCCCCCAAAAACCACTATGATTTTCAGAGAAACAGATGTCAGATTACAATTGTATCTCTAGGCTATAGTAGGGTCACTCCTTAGTGAGTACAACACTTTAGGGTTAGGTTTCCCCTACTTGTACTCACCTCTTGCCTAGTCCAATCCATCATTCCTAGTTGTATTCTTGACAACAGGGTAATTTACTCTGATAAAAAAATCCCTCAGCGTATTAGCCTTATAGTTATCTTAGCCTTTTGTTAGCCCTTAGTATTAGGAAAAAGATGTGAACAACGCATAACTCATTAGCTACTGTACATTGCTCATTCAGTGTCCGTGTGATTTGCAGCGTCGAGAAGTACGACCACGCCCCTTGACTGAGCCTTGATTCAAACGCATCGCCAGTCTGCTTGGTCAATTGGCGCGATCTGGAGGCTTGGGTCGTTGGGATGATCTCCCCGCCATTCCCAAGGCTTGACGTGTCAGAATTGTTGGTCTGCTTGGGCAGCTAGGTACAAGAGTGTAACGCATTTTCAGTGGAAAGGGGAAATGCATCCGACACGGCAAGGCATAGGAAGATATGAACGGGTAGACACATCAACGTGTACGGCTCTCTCGAGCCGCTGAAACTTGCGTACCCAGGCCAGCAGCGCGAAATTGCAAAAATTATGGCGATTCGAAATGCCCCCGCAAATGAGCTTTGCAGTCCCTCCCCCAATTGACGATCTGCTGTCTTGGCTCGGTAAGGACTTCGGCTTGCACAACCTTGATTGGTGAAGTTTGGGTAACGCACTCACATTCACCAAACCAAGCAGACACAGACCGAGCAGAATTACTGTACCAGGCCAAGCAGCATCCCCCAGACAAGGCGGTTCGGTTAGCAGCTAGGAAACCCTTATTGCAGTCATGGAATGGAGGGAAAGCTTTTGGTTTGGTCCGGAATTCCGGCGAGGGCACATCCACGCACTCGCGCTTGGATCATTGGAAGGGTGGGGGGGAAGGGAAGGAAGGGGAGGTGAGGAGGGGGAAAGCTGCCTGCTACCTTGCTGAATGGAGTGCTCAGTAGGGGTGCTGGTTAGGAGGTCCGTGCTTTCCTAGCCAGCACTTGCCCCTGTTGTTCATCTGCTCTGGCCTTGTAATGCCCTGCGCATCCCTGACCGCACGCGACAGAAACTCGACTCCAGTCCAAGTGTCTGCTGCATCGTTTTACACAATCCTGCCCAGTTAGCAATCGTTCTGACTATCGCTATATCTTACGGAAACGCAGCTGAGCATGCCTAACCGCGTTCAACCGTTATTTTGGAAGTTCGCTACTCAGCATTTGGAGACTGTACCGTATCCCACGCCGTTACGTGATGACCTGACGTGGGGTAACGTGTACCGGTGTGCCGCTCACTGTTGAGGCAATCTGCTACTGCGCTGCGACCATCCTCACCCAGTGGGCAGCATTCCTCCGACTGCTCTTGCTCCTACAAGCCAGCGCACCCAGCTCAGGATCAATGAAAAGCGTCGCACTCGCACACCCATGCACCACCTGTCCCCAGCTCCTTCGACAAGCCAAACCTGAGAACAGTGTCTTCTAAATTCGTCTCGGTTCGGTCCTACACACCGGCTGTGCTACTTATAGAAGTTGCGCGAGCTCCTTCGGCGATCAGAATTACCTTGCAAATGGCTATATAGGGGACAAAGGCTACGTAGGGCTTTCCTTCTTCTCTCCACATCGAGATGGTCTGTTGGACCATTCATTCCCGAGTCGCGTCCGGCAGGATAGTCTGCCAATGCCGTAGGCAATCAGATGTCTCTTATGGTGGCCGCGCAAACAGGATGAGTCGAGCCAGTTTAGGCAGTGCGACACCGCACAGTAGAGTTAATAGAGTCTTCTCATTTGCCTCACTTTAACGCGGATTTTGCGCACTAGCTAGGACACTGATTTAGGGACATCGTCAATTCCTTTCGACAGCGCGTGATTCCCTGACGCTCCGCCTCTTCCGCTTTGGTAGAACAACGCCTATAGATTCGCGCGGGGGTGACCAACCTGTAGCAGTCGTAGTTGTCGTCTCGTATTCTCCTGTAGCCTGAAACTCGCGGACAGGACGAAGGCGTCCGTCGGTGCTGCGTACAGCAAATACTCACTCAGACCCGTTACTTCGTTAGAGCCTGCGGCCATGGGCCCCTCTCGCTCCGCATCTCCCGGAACTTCCCGCGTTTCCCTCTCGTCGGCCTCTCGTCGTGCTCCCTCCCCATCGCGCTCCTATCATGCCGCACCCTCCCTCTCCGCGCACCCACCCGCGCACTCCTCGGGGTTGTCGGCCGGCCCCTCCGCCTACACCGCGCCATCACATCAAATAGTTCCCCCGCCGCCGCTTTTCGGAACCTCCTCGTCCAACCACCGACCCTCCTCGCCTTCCCATTCCACCGCCTCTCCCTCCCGATCCATCTCCGCGACTGCCGCGAACAAGCATTCGCAGCGTTACACCCTCCCTTCGCCAATCTCCATTCCGTCCCTTAACCTGACGAGTCCCAGGCACAGCTCTCCGCGCGTCACGCCCCGAAGCTCCATTGCGAGCCTGCTACCCAGCTTCGGCAGGTCCGGGGTTTATGGCGGGGGAGGCGGCGTAGGAAGCGGATTCGGGGAGGTGAGATACGGTGACCGGAGTTTGGATGCGGGACAACCGTCGGGGCCAATACCACCGGGACCTATCACATCCGCATCGGCAACAGCAGCTTCGTCGTCCTCCGCGCTTGTAGCGGCAGCAACGGCGGCGGTTGCGGCGGCAGCGGCTGCGGAGAGCGCCGCTGCGCCGGTGACCGCACGGGGAAGCAGAAGCGGAACGCCGGATTCGCGCCGCCAGCTGTTCCCAGGCGCGGAAGCGCGTGGAATCTCCCTATCTTCCGCGCCGCCCGTAAACCCTGCTCTTGCGCCCGCAACGCAGCTTCATAACGTCGCACCTGCGCCCGTCCGCACTCCCCGCCCCGCCAGCCCCGTGCTCCCCGGTGACCGTGTGGAACGGTCTGCGGAAGGGGAATGGTCGGGGGCCATGGGCGGAGGGGTTATGCGCGGCTTGAGCGGAGGCGCGGGGGAAACAGGCAGTGGAATGAGGGATGGGGGAGGGATTGGCGCAATGAGGTCTGTGCCAGCTGCGCTGGGGGGGAGCGGCGGAATGGGGAGGGGGAAAGGGAGCTTTTCTAGCGGGCAGCAGCAGCAGCTGCAGCACAACCGGCGGTGGACGAATGACGGGTCCGCGGGAGGCGGGGCGGTTTGCGCGTCTCCCGCTTCCGCCGCAGCTACGGGGAGGCCGGATGCGGATATGGCGGACTTGCGCTCGTTTGCGGGGGACGAATTCGCCTGCAGTAGCGCGGGGAGTCAGCGGAAGGTGGAGCGGAAGGACAGGTGCGCTGACGGGGACGGAACACCAGCGGGCGCGGCGCCTGCGGCTGGTGTGGGGACCAGGATTTTGCGCGAAGGGGGAGAAGGCGGGGGAACAGACCGCGCAGGCGCGGTGGGGGGGATAGGAAGAGCCAGCTTGGGCGCTGGCGCAACAGGGGGAATGCCCGGAATTGGCAGAGGAACAGTGGGGGCGGGAGGTCTACGATCCAGCGCGGAAGGAATTGGGGGAGTCGCTGCGGGAATCGCGGCAGGCATGTCAGCGCAACCCGCTCCGGGGCGGATACCTTCCGCTTCCGCTTCCGCACCGGGAGCAGCAGCAGCAGCGGCGGCTGCGGCGCCAGCACGCGCGAGCGGGGATCTTGCAGTTGCGATGGCGGAGGCAGCGGGGGCGGAAGCGAGGAGCGGAAGCAACAACCACCCTACTGGCTTGTATCGAATGGCAGCGAAGACGCGTCTATGGAGGACGCGCGAGCCCGGGAGCGCGGTGCTGCGCCACGGCTCTATCGTTGCGCTCGCGCTCGGCAGCAAGCTGCTGGCAGCCGTCGAATCCAACGGCCGCTGGGAGCTCGGAACGGTCGATCCATGCACAGAGCCGCCGGCAGGCGCCGCAGCAGGCGCCGCGAGCGACGGCGCGGGGCCGTGCAACGGAGATGTGCAGGCCGCGGCGGCAGCAACGCCGGCAGCGGCGGCTAGTAGTGGTGGCGCTGACGGTCTCGGTGCATATTCTGGCAGCAGCGGCGGCGGTGTGTTACATGGCGATGCGGGCGCGTCGAATGGCGGCGGGATTGGCGGGGCGTGGCCTGTGGAGAGTCTGTTCTTGCTGGTGTGCTTCGGAGGGGGTCGCGTGGGGCTGCGGTCCCTGGCTGCTGACGGGCGCTGCCTGTCTGCCGCTGGCAGCGCCGACGAATGCCACTACTTCGCTGGATGGTACGGTGCTCGTGCAGATTCTCTCTCTATGTGTGTGTGTGTGTGTGTGTGCGCGCGCGCGCGCGCACGTGCGCATGCATCTCCCTCTCTCATTTCCCAGCCTATCCCCCACACCGCACTGTCCCCCCCTCCCCGATTTGACTCTCCCCTGTCTCTCTATCTTCTCGCCCCTCTCTTCGAAACCCACACGCCTCCTCCACACCCCCCTTCCCCCATCCCCCCATGGACCGGAGCAGGCACTTCCAGGAGCCAGAGGTATGGTGTATGCCGCCAGACCTCTCCGCCCTTCCGCCTGCTCCCCCCCCCGCGGGGACTGCTGCTGGCGACCGCAAGGACGCGCGCGAGGCACAGGCGGAGGGGGGTGCGGAGGAGACGGCGGAAGGGGGGGAGGGGAAGGAGAGGGCACTGGCAGGAGGGGGAAGGGGCGCGGAGGTGGCGATAGGCGGGTGGTGCGAGGAGGTGGGGGGGGTGGTGGAGGGTGCGGTGGTGCTGCGCAGTGTGGTGCACCCGCAGTCCGTGCTGCCTGTGCGCGTGGTGGGCATGGTGGGCGGCAGCTACAGGCAGTGGAAGCACATGCAGCAGGAAGCGGTCACTGCTGCCGGGCTGAGGGGACAGGTGAGAGGCGATGGGCTGAGGGGAAGGGGTGGGTGGTGGGTGTTTAGGGCCCCTGTTCCAATCTTCTTCGTGTGCTTCTCCTTTTCTCACACTTCCCATATCGGTGTGTTGTGCAAACCATTGCCACAGCTGGCGCTCTACCTACCTACCTACCTACCTACCTGCCGTCCTAAACGACCCACGCATTGTCACTCAATACAATGCGTCCCATGCCACCTTCCAACTCTCGAACTCGTCTCAAACCCCAACCGCCCAACCATGCAGGTGCACCAGCTACGGGAGCGCGTGCGAGTGCTCGAATCAAGTCAAGCCCCGGGCCCCCTCACTGCGCCCCTGGCTGCAGAAGCAGCGGCAGCAGGGGGAGGAGCGAACGCGATTAAGGATGGGGCCGGCCTGGGTGCGCTATCCATGTGCATGTGTGGGCATGGCGATGGGGATAGTGATGGTCTTGAGCATGGGGACGATGGAGGTAACCTGCTCGGGAGCAGTAGCAGCAGCAGGAGCAGTGGCGGAGGGGAGAGCTGCAGCAGCAGCAGCAGCAGCCAGGGGGGCGGCAGTAGCAGCCTCAGCAACGTTCAAGGAAAGGACGGCAGGTGCATAGACTGCGGCTTGTTCACAACACCTGCTGCCGCTGCTGCCGCTGCTCCGGCTGCTGGTGCCGTTGGTGCTGCTGCTGCTGGTGCCGGTGCTGCTGCTGGAGCAGTTGGGATGCTCATGAACGGGGCAGCAGCAGAGGGAGGCGTGGTGGGCACAGCTGTGCGTGGTGCTCGCTCTGCGTCCTCCTCCGCACTGGCTGCCCTTGCTGCTCGCAGTATGTCACCCGGCTGCTCTCCGCGCTCATTGCTAACACAACCCAAGTCGTGTTTTCTGTCAAAGCATATCTGCCACTCTCTCGCTCCCTTGTTCCCTCCACCTTCTGACCTTCCATTTTTCTCCACCCTTCGTTCCTTGTTCCCTCCTGCTCTTCTTCCTTTTTTTCCCCATCCGTTGCCCATCCCGTCCTGCCGTCTGCCTATATTCGTGTGCTTCCACCAGCATTCTCCTCTTTATACCCACCGCCTGATCCACATCCCCCTTACCTCTTCTGTCGCTGTCCTTCCCATACCATCCCACCTTCCATTCTCCCAACTCCCTAACTACTCTCCCATTTCCTTTCCTGTCACACCTGCCACCTCTCGATCCCTGCTCCCGAATGCATCCTTTGCTCAAATGAAGGAAAGAGAGCCCAGATAACAATTCCTTCCTCCCTACGCCTCTCTCCTCTCCTGTCCTTGCATGCACCCCCTGCATGCACCCCCTGGCATGCAACCCCCTGGCATGCAACCCCCTGCATGCACCAGTCGCGCAGCTGGAAGAGGAGATCCGAGCCAAGGCACAAGGCGCCTCCTCGCACTCCTCCCCTTCGCCCTCCCCCTCCCTCGCCTCCTTCCCTTCCTGCTCCTCCTCCTCGTCTGCTGCCTCTGACAGCGACCAGGGCAAGCCGGCCAAGCCTGCTGTGCCTTCCGCTGCTCCATCTGCTGCTGCTGCTGCCGCTGGTGGTGCGGCGGCAATGGCACTGGGGTCAGGAGCAGGTGTGACAGCTGCTGCTGCTGGGGACGCTGCTGCATCGGCCACAGGAAAGGCAGAGAGGCAACTGGCGGAAACAGAGGCGGAGAGGGATCGGCTGCAGGCACGGGTGAAGGAGCAGGGGGGGCAGCTGGAGGGCGCGAGGAGCGAGGCACAGGGGCTGCGAGAGAGGATGCGGCAGATGGAGCTGAGGGCGCTGGAAATGGAGGGGCTGCTGTCCATGCTCAGACAGCAGATGCCCATGCTTGATCTCCCTCTGCCCCTCCCGCTGCCGCTGCCGCTGCCTCGCGCTGTGAGCCCTGAGTTGTCACATGGGCTCCAGGCTGCTTCCCATGCTGACACCCATGCTCAGGCTCTTGCTCCTGCTGCTCACACTCCTCATTCTCCTGCTGATGCTGCTGATGCTGCTGGTGGTGCTGGTGCGTCTGGTGGTGCTGGTGCGTCTGGTGGTGCTGGTGCTGCTGGTGGTTCTGGGAGTGGTGCTGCACCTGCCATTGCTGTAATGAGCAGCAGTGTAGAGAAGGAGTGGGAGCAGGGAGTGGGGAAGACGTACGAAGTTGGGGAAGGAGTGGATGGAGAAGGGATGGTCCACCCTGTACCATCCACCCCTCCACTCTCCCCATCCCTCGCTGCCTCCCAGCCCCAAGCCACCTCCGTGTTTGAATCCCCCATTCTCGCCCCAGATTCGCCGCTACTGCCTCCGTGTTTGAATCACCCCGCTCAACCGAGCACCTCCCCTCTTCCGTCACCGAGCGTCAGTCTCGAGTGTCTGGCTATGGGGGCTCAGCTGGAGGCACAGGCAGCACAGGCAGCACAGGCGGAGGAGAAGGCAGAGAGCGGTGGTGGCAGGGGTGGAATTCAACAGGGTTTCGGGCGGTTTGGAGGAGCAGGTGACGTGGAGAAGCGCTGGCAGGCGCAGCTGCAACAGCAGCAGCAGCAGCAGAAGAAAGAGGTGGGAAGCGGAGAGAGAGCTCTGGAAGGGTTGTACAACCGACCCGCTGCTGGTTCTGCTGATGATGCTGCTGATGCTGGTAACGCTGGTGCTGGTGCTGGTGGTTCTGGTGTTGGTGCTGGCGGTGCTGGTGCTGGTGGTGTGCAGAGGAAAGAGAGCAAGGAGGGAAGGGATGTTGGCTTTTCTATTGAGCAAGGCGGAGGGAGGGGCGGAAGGGTGGAGCAGGAGGGCAGAGAGGTGCGGGACGGGAAGGGAGGGAAGGAGGGGAGCGCGAGCGGCAGTGGGAGGAGTGGAGGAACAAAGGGCCTGGCCCGTGCCCTGTCTGGTATACTGGGCAGCCCTAGGAGGCGAGATGCTGCTCCGTCAACAGCAGCAGCAGGAGGAGGAGGAGGAGGAGGAGGGGGAGGTGGGGGAGGGATAGGAGGGGGAGGAGGAAGGGGAGGGGCAGGGGAGCCGTTGCTACGCAGGAGCTTCTCGCCCATGCGGTCCACCAGAGGGTGGCTGGGAGTAGGCGCAGGTGGAGGAGCCGGTATGGCGCCTGGCGCTGCTGCTGCTGCTGCAGCAGCTAACAAAGCGGCACTGGCAGCGGCAGCAGGAGCAGGATCAGCAGCAGGTGCTGGGGCGGGTAGCAACAGCGGGAGTGAGGTGCTTTGGGCGTGTCACGCCAGCAACACGACTTCCAGCAGCTGCAACACCACTGGTAATGACGCTGCGCACAGTGCAAGCATGGGGATGATGCAGCGTGGTGGCGTTCGGAACAGTCACGGTAGTAACAGTAACGCTTTTGCGTGTACTGCCTCGAGTTACATGCAGCGGGCCAGCGCGAGCCAATCAGGAATTGCCACGTCGGTCACCTCCCTGCACACTGCTGGCACGGACGCGTCAGGTGGCGGAACAGCAGCAGTGGTAACACCTGGGGTTACACCTGGAGTCACCCCTGGGGCTACACCTGGCGCCACCCCTGGTGCCACACCTGGTGCCACTCCTGCTGTGTCCGTATCTGCATCCCTGGTGTCCCTGTCAGGGGTAAGTGAGAGTGTGGAGGGGCCAGTATGGAACGAGGTGATGATGTTTGGAGGAGGGGCGAGTGGAGGGGTGGGGATGGGTGGAGATGGTGTTGGTGCTGGCGCTGATGGTGTGGAGGGTAGTGGGGGTGGAAGTGGTGGCGGTGGCGGCAGCAGTGTTGGTGGGCGCATGGGTGGCGATGGTGGTGGCGGGAGGAGCAGATGGTTTGAAACAGCGGGCGCGAGTGCTGCTGCTGCGTCTGGTACTTTCGCCAGTGAGAATAATAATGATATCGATATCGACATTGGTGAAAACGATCATGCTGACAGTGGTGATGCTTCTCGGGCGGCTGCTGCTGCTCCAGCTGAGCGGAGAGGCATGGAGGAGAGTGCTGTTAGCGGCACGAGGGACGGGGGCACGAAGCAGCAGGTGCAGGGGGGGCAGCAGTCACCGGATATGGCATGGCTGCACAACCTCATCAAAGGTGCGCCCGTGCCCGCGCCCATGCCTGCCTGTGCCCATGCCTGCCTGTGCTTTTGCATCGCCTCCTCTTTCCCTGGCCTCCAAAGAGTTCGCTCTTTCCCCATCTCCCCAACCCCCTGCTTTCCCCACACGCTGCCTGCTCTTCCCCACTCTACCCCACGCCACCCCAACCCTCTCCCATCCAATGCTAGGCATATCATCATAGTGAGCCGGGTTCCAGCTTTCCAAGCATTTGTGTTCAGGCAGTCCCTTTCTTTCAAGCATTGCCCGAACGGACAGCACCTTCCTACCCTTTCCCCGTTCCCTCACCCCTTACTTTCTCAACGTGTCTACTTATGTGTGTGTGCGTGAAAGTGTGTGCATGTGCGTATCTGTGTGTTTGTATGTGTGTTTGTCCATGTGTGGGATAATGTGCATCCGTGGTGGCCCATCCAGAGGCACGCAAGGCAACGGTGTCAGCATCGACCGTGCTCTCTACCTCTCATGCCTCTCATGCCCCACATTCCTCACACGCCCACCATCCTGCTGCTGCCAAACGTTCTGGTGAGCCCCATCAAGCATCCCACCCGAGTGCTCTACCAAGCACTAGGTTGGTTACTGATACCCTACAGCCCTACGGCGTGTGAGCTATTGCATTGTTGCTGGTTCTACCCTTCCTGCGTTCCTCTCAGCATCCCTCTCCTCGTACTTGTCTCCTCTTCGCCAGGCAACCTCACAACACTCTGCACCTCTCTGTGCCAGCCCTTCACATTCCTCTGCATTCCCATCCTTCCCAACCCTCTCTGCTACCTTTCCTCGCAGTTACCACCTCTGCCATAGCAACATCGGGAGTTACCACGTGTGCTGTGTCCCCTCTGGGACACCCCAACCCCAATAACCTAGTCCAAGCTGCTGACGGCGCAGCACCAGGAGCAGCAAAGGAAGGAACAGCAGGAGCAGACGAAGCAATAATGGTGGGCGGCGGAGGAGGAGGATTGTTTTCTGGTGCAGCTGCAGTGGGTGGCGCTGGTACAAGCGGGCCAAAGGAGCTGAGTCATTCTGTGACTGAGCACGTCAGCCCAGATCACCACAAGCAGCCGCTGCTGCAGCAGCAGCAAGGCCATCCATCCTCAGTGACTGCATCTTCCTTGTTGCCATCCGCACCATCAGGCTCCCCATCCCCATCCCCATCCTCAGCCGCCGCCGCCACCAACCCCCCTTCCACCAGCACCACCACCACAACCACTACAACTACCACAACGACTGCCCCCTCCCCCTCCCCGTCACTGCAGCAGCGCATTCTGAACCTGCAGCTGAAGGTATCCGCGCTCAAGATGGACCCCTCCTCACTCGCATCAGCCTCCACTGCTGCTTACCGCCCCGCACCGGCTTCTGCTGCGGCTACCTACACGCAGAAACAAGCTGCTGCTGGTGCTTCCACTTCTGCTGCTGCTGCTGCTGCTGCAGCTGCTGCAGCTCCAGCTGCTATTACTGCACCTACTGCAAATTTTGCAGCAGACACTAACTCAGTCGGATCTCTCCATACTGCCGCCGCCGCCGCCGCTGCTGCTGCTGGCGGTGCTGGCGGTGGTGGGGGTCCTGCTCCCTCAACGCCAACAGCAAGGGCAGGTTCGGGTTCGAGCCTTGGAGGCGGATTGGCAGCTGTGCTGGGTGCGAGGCAGAGGCTGCAAGCTGCTGCTGCTGCTGTGGCGGCAGCGGGTTCAGGTGTATCCAGCACAAGAGGTAGAGGCGCAGGGGAAGGGGGGGTGGCGGTTGCAGTGAGGGAGAGAGGGAGGTGGAGGGTTGGTGGAGGAGGAGATGGGGGAGGGGCCTTGATAGAACCGCCTGCATCCTCCTCTGCTGCTGCTTCTTCCGCTGTCTTTGTGCCTCAGGCAAGCCCCTCGTACCCTGCGTCGAATCATGTGGTTTCTTCGCTGCAGCTGCACCAGCAGCAGCAGCAATGGCGGCAGCAGGAAGTGGAGAGCGGAGATACAAGCAGCAGCAGTGCGGTGCTACAGACGGATGTGGCTTCCCATCCAGTCGTGCCTTCCCCACGTGCAGCATACAGCACACAAACAGCAGCCGCAGGTGGTGGTGGTGGTGGTGGTGGTGGTGGTGCTGCTGCTGCTGCTGGGCCTGGCAAGGTTTACAGAAGCAACAGTGGCAGGTGGGGCAGCAGCACTGGCGCTGCTGCTTCTGGTTTTGCTGCGGGTGCTGGAAGCTCAGGGTCGGGAGCCATGGGCCTGTGGCGCACCGGAAGTGGAAGCAGCAGCAGCAGCAGCAAGAGGAGTGCGGGCATGGGAGGGCACGATGGCAGTGGGGGTGGGAAGACGCTAGGAGGTGGCTTAGGGGGAATGGGAGGGCGAGGAGTGGGAGGGGGAGTGGCGGAGAGGTCAGTGGTTGCAGGCATGCTGCTGCAGATGGCCGGAGCCTCTGCTGAGGCGAAGGAGAGGAGACGAGTCGCTGCAGTTGCAGCAAGGGGAGGAGGGGGAGGAGGAGGAGGGGAAGGAACAAGAGCTACAGCAGCAGTTTCGGTAGCAGAAGGAGCAGCAGAAAGGGAGGGGAGTGCAGGAGTTGTGGGGGTTGGGGAAGGAGGCGCGATAGGGGAAGTGGGTGTGGGAGGGATGGGAGCAGTGGCAGGAGGGGACAAGAAAGGGAGAGCCGAGAGGGGGAGTGCTCGCTCCAGGAGTCCCTTGAGGCTTGCTGAAGGTGGGTCTGGTGCCCGGTGCTCAGGCTGAGGGCGGGTGGGTGGAGGGTGGTGGATGGTGGGGGTGGTTGGTGAATAGAGTGAGTGTAGGTGGAGGGTGGTTTCTGGAACAGTGAGTGGCAAGTTGCCAGCAAGTGGGTGCATTGCATGCGGGGAGTGGGATCTGTAAAAATGATTGATGGAGAAAATGTGAGGTAAAAGCGGGGGAGGTTTGAGGGGTGAATGAGCAAAACCATTTTTGTTTGGCCGTTGTGTTTCAACCTTCACCTGTAAAGCAGCATGCGGTTTTGTTTCCTTTCCCACGATGTCTAAACTCTTGTATCTTGCTTCCTTTCCCTTCCTCCTCTCACCGTCTCCTTCCATCCCGACTCCCCATACCACCATCAGCATCGAGTGGCAAGGCCTCATCCATCATCTCCTCTTTCCTCCGCTCTGCGACTGGCTCAAGGGCAGCAGCAGCATCATCAGCAGCAGCAGGAGCAACCGCAACTGGCACTGCTGCAACCACCACCACCACCACCACCACCTCCTCCTCCTCCTCCTCTGCCAGGCCAAGCTCGCCTGCCACCGGTCTTGCTGCTGCTGCTGCGGCTGCTGCTGGCGCTGCTGGTGGTGGTGCGCGGACTGGGGCGGCATCAGTAGCAGCTGCTGGCTCCAGCAGCAGTGGTAGAGGGTGGGTGGGCAGCGGTAGGCATAGCTCCCCGTCCAGTAGAAGATTCAGAGTATCGTGAGGGGGAGAGGGGATTTTAGTAGGAATGTGTGTAGACTTGTCACAGTGGTGAACGAGGTGAGGACAATAGGTTGGGGGGGATGAACACAAAATTGCATTCAGAAACATGCTAGCTAGATCGTCCACTAACTCAGAGTCTATTTGTTTCCCCATTTGTTTCAGTGCCCGTGCAAATTGCTGGCCAACCGTTTTAGCCACATTCACCCTGGCACAACCGTACCTTGCATTGAAAATGCTAACTTGAGAATAGGAGTAGTACTGGTAGGTATAAATCAGAAGTTCTCACTGTGCACAGTTTGCCTCCCGAGTGTCTATTAGCTGGGTAAAAACGGTAATTGGTGACGTAAGAGCAATTGTCAAGGATGATAGGGAGCCATATGGAAAGTGAGCTACACGTGCATTGTGGGTGTCCAGAAAACGAGGAAATTCCTATCGCGTCTTGAGCCTCTGGAGGCGATCTACGGGTCGGCCTGGTCGGTCCTTGCTGATCCGAACCAATCCAATTTAGATGGATTGAACCACGTTGTCGGTCTAGAGAGGAGGTGGGTGGGTTGTTGGTGCCGTCTATTCCCCTGCCCGTGGGATCCTACGAACTAGTTGGGTGCAGATTTGGCTAAGGTTATATATTGATCAGTTGGGTGCAGATTTGGCGAATAAGGTGGAACCTGTCTGACCAAAGTTGGGCAAATCCTCACCTTTACTGAAATAGATGAATAGGGAGGGATAAAAGATGGCGGAAGTAATGTGCTCACGAAGGTTGCGAAAAACTCTGGGAAACACTGCGCTTCTTGACCATATATTTTGTTTCCTGCGAATTGAGGCGACGCCATTCTTTCAACAATTTCTGGTAACCGCTGGGCCGAAAAGTTCTGGGAAGCCAACCTTTGTACTGTTTTGTTCCACGCCCTTCGAGTCGTTTGTGCCGTCTATTCTCCTGCCCGTGAGCGGGTGCACATTTGGAGAATAATATTCTGCCTTGATATCATCAGTGTAAAGAGTGCATGTTTCCCTTGCGCCCCGCGAAAATCGAGCTACCTGCGTTCTGTACGAGCGTCAGCGAGTTTGTACATTGCGTTTGATTTCGGCTCCGCCACGTGCCACAAACTGAAAGTTTTTCTATGCTACATCAGGCGTGCGGAATAGCCAAAGCCGCCGGGGGTGACCGCTCCGAGAGCGACTCGGCAGTGAAAGAGTAATCGGATTAGCCGCCGCCCTTATCCACACACGACCGAGCCTTGGACGGATGGCTGTGAATCCACAAAACACGCGGTACGAGTCTAGTCTGGTCCGGTCCGATCTGCCCACACAAGGCAGGCCCAGGGAGTACTATGATTTGCTCTGGCTGCGCCGCATGTCGTCGTCATCGTCGTCGGGTAGGTAGGCTTGAGCATGAGCACCGTCCCCATGATCGAACCAAAACCAACAAGGCTTGAATTCGCATGTAACCGAGCTCACAACCGGACCTATCTTTCATGCGCTGGACCGGACCGCTCCACCGCATCCTCTCGCTTCTACTCCGAGTACAAGCCACCAATTTCCCGATAGTACCACCATTTTCCTCATCGCATTCCGTGACGGTTGAACACAAAACTTTTCCTACTACTACGACTACTACTACGTAGTATACTTTAGAACCATGGCTCTCCCGTGCCGTGGCGCAACCCCGTGTCTGCTCGTGTCGCTCCTGCTCCTCTCCCTCACCGTCTTGCGGATCCACGCGCGCCACGGCCCCGAGATAACCGTTGCGGACGCCGCTAAGCCGCATTCCCGCAGCGGCATTCCCACTGGGGATCGTGTCGCAATTTCCCACCGCCGGCAGGCGCAGTCACCTGAGGTACTGCAATGGTCATCTATGCTGGTACTAGTTGCATTGCTGGGTACAGTTGCGCGACATGTGGCGTTACTGCTTGTCCAATGCTAGCACCAAGTCGCATGGTGACTCACAATCATCTCTTGAACCGCTTGTGCCAGACAGGGCGTGAGCAATTCTGGGACCGCAAACAGCGTAGAGAACAAAAGGCATCATTTGTGGCAATGAATTCCTATTGGCACAAATGATGCCAAAACAGCTTCATTCCGTCTGTTTAGATATTATGTAGAACGGGGTCCTACGGATTTCCGTCTGACTTTGAGCAGCTCCGACAGATTTCCTCCATTTTCTAAAGTGGTCACCCGTTTTCTGCCGCGTCACCCTCACGGCGAGTCATCATGATCGCAGGTCGGAGCATCCGGAGAGCGACAGCACGACGCCTCCGCGAGCAGCAGTCGCGGAGGGGGGACGGCCAGAACGACGGGCGCGGGGAGCAATGACGGCGCGGTGGAGTCGATAGCGGAGTGGAAGCGGCGATCAGCGGAAGCGGGCGCGCACTACTTCCCCCTGCAGCGCGCGGAAGACGCCCCCAGCAGGGACGAGCTGCACCGCCGGATTCTCGTGAGCAACGGGGGGCGGGCGGGAGGGTTGAGGGCTGCTCAGGAAGTCGCTGCTCGAGTTGTCTTGATCACGATATCACTACTACTAAGCCTCCCTCAACGACGCGAGACATATGGAGAGACAGTGTGGTGCACCAGCTTGCACTATGACTTCTTTGCATGGCGTTTGCGTGGACATCTATACTTAACTGCTGCCACTCTGCTGCCGGCTCTTATTGTCTACCCAAGTGATGCGAGCCCACGTGTGCCCTCTCATGATCTCTTCATGCTTCCTTCCCCCCACTCACAATCTGTGACATGTGCAGATGGGGGAAGGCTTGAAGGACAAAGGGAAGTCAGGCAAGGCATCGCAGGTGCGTGAGCGCACACTGGACAGACGCTGCCACTACTACTTTACAGACTGGTAGTGTGGGTTCAGGCAGTCGTTTGTGGAACAGTGGCTGGTGACATTTGACAGTGCTGCCTGCCATTCGCCCATTAGCCTTGCTGCGAGGAGCTGATTTGAAGTGGGAGGGACAAGAGCTCTGTGCAACGCGACCCATTGAGCTCTGTGCGACCCATTGAGCTCTGTGCGACCCATTGAGCTCTGTGCGACCCATTGAGCTCTGCGCGACCTATTGATCCGTTGCTTCTCAATGCGTTCCCATCCGCTTGCCTTCCGCGCTGCCACCTTGTTATAACTTGCCGCCGCCAGGCGAACCTTCCATTTGCCGCTGCTGTGAATTGGTGTTCCTGCCTCGTTGCTTCCTGACAATGGCGTATCCTTCGCCATTGTTTCTGAGGCGTCTCAGGAATCGTCTCGTCTCATCTCACATGGGCTGTCTGTCCCACCTACCTGCTTGCTGGTCGCTTGCATGCATCACTGCTTGCGTGCAGAGGAAGGGGTATCCTTTGCCGCTCATGGCGTATGACAGCACGCTGCTCTCAACGGCCAACGGCACAATGGGCAACACCATGGTCAACTACAGCACCTTCTCCAGCTCCATTGTAGAGGACTACAATTTTCACCTCCCGTATGCTCCGCCATGCCCCACTCGCTGCACGCCACTCACTGCACGCCACTCTCACTCACAACACCCCTCTCTCAGTCACCCATGGTCCTGTACCTCAGCCCTTCGCAAAAGACATACCCCGCCCCGCCCTTCCAACTCCCTCATCTGTAAGCTCCCCTTTCTCCCTTTTCTCTCCCCCTCCTCTCCCCCTCCCTCCCCACCAGCGTGTATCCGTACTACGTGGCGCTCAAGCTGGGGTCGCAGAAGCAGGAGTTCAGCATGGCGCTCAACCTCGCTGTCCCGGACACCTTCGTGCCCTGCGACTGCCTGCACTGCGCCTCCATGTGCAAGGGGGTGCGTGGGGTTCCAACCTCCGCCTACCCGCCCACCCACCCACGGGCTACGTTCCCGGGGGAGTGCGAGGGGGAGAACAGGCCGGCGGCTTGGGAGTGTGGGAGAGAGATTCAGAATGAGTGAGAAGGATTAAATGAGACAGATTGGGAGTGAGTGCGAGCGAGTGTGCGAGAGTGGGAACTGGAGGTTGTCATTGTGTGTGGAGGGAGGGGCTATTAGCCCGCATTGATCTCCCCTCTTTACCTGTTCCATTGACTTCATCTTGCTCTGCTGGATCGAATCGAGTCACAACCATGACTCATATCCGCGCCCCCAACCCTTCTCCTTTCACCGTTCAACCCTTTTTCATCTCCATTTATCTCATCTGACTGAACCTACACTCGTCGGCTTTTAGTTTTCTCTCCCATTGCCTTCCCACAGCGCTCGTGTGAACCCAGTCGTGATGCGTTCCTGTTTCCGATACAACAGCACATAAATCCTGCCTCTTGCCTCACTTCCCCTCTCCCTTCCCACCCCCACCGCTCCCATCACCCCATCTGGCATCTTTCTCCCCCTCTCCCCTCTCCCCTCTCCCCCTCTACCCTCTCCCCTCTCCCCTCTCACTTCATACCGACCAAAGCAAGCCGTCTCTAGCCTCACCTCACGTTCCCCTCCTTCCCCTCCCCTCGCCCCCCATCCTCTCGCCCCGCAGACCACCACAAGCAAGCCCTTCAGCACGCTCGCCTCCACAACCCTCAAGTACATCTCCTGCAAGAACCAGCGCTGCCAGACGGGCATGGACACAAAGTACGGCTGCAACACGGAAGGGTATCGCAACTACATCAACACTACGGGCTTTCTGCCTGGCGACGATGCCCTGTGCGTGTACAGTGGATGGGAAGGACCGTTCGACTACTATGAAGCTGACGGTAATGCAGACGTGTACCTTCAGTCGCTGGGGCATGTGATGGAGGACACCGTCTACCTCACTGCACCTGACGGTACCGAAGTCAACCGCTCCATCATTCTTGGGTGAGTCTCTCCTTGTCATTGCCCGTCATCTCTCCCGTGCTTCCTCCCTCAGTATCTCTCACTCCCTTCGCGATATCCCGGAAACTCACTTTCCCCTTCGTTCTGTACATCACTCTCCTCTCTGTCGCCCCCCATTGCCGCCCCAGCTGTGGAATGTACCAGCAGGGCTACTGGGGCATGCAGGGGTGGCAGTACGGCTCGTGGGCAGCAGGAGGCGTGTTGGGGCTGGGGTGGAACAGCCCCTTCCTCTATCAGCTCACCGGCCTTAATGAACCAAGCGCCTTGGCCGTGTGTTTGGAGGCCACCCCCACCAACGAGACGGGATGGGATGGCAAGGTGCCGCTGAAGACAGGCAGCAGCCATCTCACCATCGGAGCCACCGGCCTCCCTGCCGGCGCCAGCTATGCCACCTTGTAATCCCACCATAATAACCCTGCACCTGCACCATGTCTCCTCTTGCTCTCTTCCTCTCCCTGCCGGCGCCAGCTACGCCACCATGTAATGACCCTGCTGCTGCTCCACGCCCTCTCGTGCTCTCACGCTCTCTTGTGCTTTCACTTCCTCTCGTGCTCTCACAAGAGAAGCCTTTTGCCTTTTTCCCTGCTCTCTGCTCCATTCCTGTCTCCTCCTCCCACCCATCCATCCATCCATCCATCCCTCCCTCCCTCCCTCCCTCCCTCCCTCCCTCCCTCCCTCCCTCCCTCCCTCCCTCCCTCCCTCCCTCCCTCCCTCCCTCCCTCCCTCCCTCCCTCCCTCCCTCCCTCCCTCCCTCCCTCATTCCGTCATTCCGTCCGTCCATAATCCATCCCCCTTGTCCCCTCTGCCCGTGCTGCAATCCCTCCACCAGGCTACAAAAGACCGGGATGCAGTACAGCCACATAACACTCACCACGCCCACACGCGCCCTCAACATCACGGACGACCGCACCAAGACAGGGGGGTCTCCTTACCTGCCTGATGACTTCCCTGAGAACGCCACGCCGGGGTTCCTCTTCATGCCCGAGTCCTTCGTGCACATGCTGCGCTACCCCCTCCTCAGCGACCTCCTCGACAAGGTATGTTCTCCTCTGCCTGTACTTGTGCCTGCAAGTGCCTGTGCATGAGCCTGCCTGCCTGCCTGTCTGAGAGCCCAGCTGTCCCAAGCCAAGCCATTGAGTGGGCTGACATGATTGGCATTGTGTTGTGAGCTGTCCCATGCTGCTATGACTGGGATGGCCTCGCCTTTGATTCCTAAGTGCACTCCACATGCAAGCCAGCCAAGTCGCTTGAATGTAGTCGAACGAGACATGGGCACTTGGTTGAGCGAAAAAAGCCAACGCACAGCTCATGAACGAATGGACTTGGTTCTTTGCAGCTCGGAGCACGGAAATGGAGTGACTTCATTGTCACTGTGACAACAGTCTTGTTTCGCACACACGCACACAGGCACACACACACACACACACACACACACACACACAAACACACACACACACACACACACGCACACGCACACGCACACGCGCACGCGCACGCGCACGCGCACGCCCACGCGCACGCGCACGCGCACGCGCACTCGCACTCGCACTCGCACTCGCACAAGCACACGCACATACACACTCGCGCCCACGTACACATACGTTCGCGCTCGCGCGCGCGCGCGCGCGATTACGCACGCACATATATACGTGTGTGTATGGCCGGCCTTCAGGCTTAGCGGCTACAGACTTAATAGGCTGTAGTGCAACAGGGCATGCTAGAAATACATGTTTCCTCCATGTGAGAGCGCCCTCTCTAGCTCCTCATGTGCCTGCCTGGTTTGTTATGCACGTATCCGCTTCTCATTTTGCCCTCCTATGCACGTGCATCTGCGTCGGCATCTGCTTGTGCTGATTGCAGCTTCAAGAAATGACGGGTCGACAACTCTACAAATCCGAGTCTGTCACTACCTCGGTTCAAATTGTATGCTTCACGTAAGCTTTCAACCTTGGTCCCATCCCATCAACCCCATTGGGTTGAAAGCGCACCTTTCCGCTCTTGTTAATCCTTCCACAGTTTTCAACCCTTACAAGTGCCGCCTCCTTGCTCGACGCACCAGCTCTCTGCGGCCCCCCTCAAGCGGTCCTTCATTCAAATGGAGCCTGAGAGCATGCCTTCTTGCTGCTAACCCAAGGTGAGCCATACTGATCCAACCTCTACGGGAGACTCACCTGGCGTTCTGAGGTGAACCAACACCTGCCCCTCACGTGCAACAACCCAACCCTATCCAGTCGGGTGAGCCCAGTGCGCTGGCAGGCAGGCGAGCAGATGCACAGCCAGGAGAAGGAAGGTGTGACGGGCTGTTCCGTCCTCGCATACGCTCTGGTCTGTGAACCCTTCCGCAACCTGGGATGGGAGCAAGAGACTCAGTAGGGTCCGTGAGATGAGACTCAGGGCTGAGAAAGTGACTGCGGTTGTTTAGCTCGGGTGCCCAGCGTCCTCGTCAATGTCACAAGGCAACCAACATACCTGACCCTCGCTCCAATCGACCCTCCGACCTCCTTGTCTCTCTTCCCGCTCTCCCATCCCCCACCCCTCCTCCCTCCCCCTCCCCTTAATGATGCAGCAACGAGAACAAGGAGGTGGATCCGTTCACCACCTTCCCCACCATCGACATTGCTTTTTTTCTCTCCAGACAACACCACCTCCCACTTCTATCTCAAGCCGCGCGAGTACCTCGCCCAGGTTAGCATTGATTTGACCTTGGAGACCTGACTAGCAGTCTCGGTTCTCCCTTATTCCATTTGATCCAAACGGATGCCACTGCAGGAGGAACATGCACATGCACACCAATTCTCATTTGCCACCCACGTATAGTTATCAAGCAAGCAGTGTCTGCCTCCCCCAACTCAACACTTGCTCCTCAACCCACCCCTATGCTCGCCCCTCCCACTACTATGCCTCATATGCCTGCCCTCCCACCCCTCCATTGATCAGCTATCTATCAGCTGTTCTATACTTGTAGCTCACGCTCCTTCTCTAGTTCTGTTACGCCCAAAATCTTCCTTCCAACTTCTTCATTGCTCCCTCCCCCTCCTCTCTCTTCTCTCCTCCTCTCCCGCCTCACCACTCTTATCTCTTCTCTCCCCGCTCTACTCTCTACTCTCCTCTCCTCTCTACTATCCTCTCCCTTTCCCCCCTCCACTCAACTCACATTCACCCAAGCTGCTGCCAAGTTGCTGCCGCTTAGACTACTTGAGAATCTCAGGTGCCACTCGTCAAGGCTCTTCCCCAATCCCATGCGGCCCCACAGGTTTTGCCTTCAGAAGAATACTGCATTCTGGCCACATTTCTTCCCAACGAATTGAACTACGTCAGCTACATTGGAGGTACGCCGCCCACCTACCGCACATCCAAATTCCTTTCTCTGCCTGACCTTTCTATTCTTCCAGCACCCTTCCCCCTTCCCCACCGACCCACCTCTGTGGAGTGCGACATCCTCTGCTCTGCCATCCACCACCGTGCGTGCATGCATGGCACCTTTTCTCTGTTGCACCGTTCCGTGCTGCCAATTGTTCAGCCATGATGCCATTTACCCCCTCACGCTGATAGGCTCGTATGGAGCAATCACTGATGACTTGAGAATTCTCAAGACTCAATCCCCGAACCTGGTCATTTAAGCAAGCATTGGTTCACTAATCGTGTGTGCTGAGCGTGACTGCGCTGATCATGACTCACTTAACCTTGGAGTTCACACCACAAGCAGGAGGCCAGATGGGCCTTGGTATCATACTTACCTTTCCCCCTGCCCATCCCACTTCCCTGTCACTAACCCTCACACCCCTATCTTGCTGCCCTTCACTCCGGGTGCATGTGGCAATGAGCAGAGCCGGCGCTGATCAACAAGTACCTCTTCCTCGACTACACCAACAAGACTGCAGGATGGATAGATGCCCCTAGCTGTAAGCTCCTATTTTCCCACCCCTTTCATCTCTCCACCACACGCACCCACCCACCCACCCCCCTCCCCTCCCCCCCCCCCCCCCCCCCCTCTCCCCCCTCTCCTCGTTTTTTTTTTTTTTTTTTTTTTTTACTCTCTCTCTCTCTCTCTCTCTCTCTCTCTCTCTCTCTCTCTCTCTCTCTCTCTCCCTCTACTATTTCTTGCTGCGAGCATCCTGAACCCTCTACCTCTTACTGCTGCTGCGGATCGTGCAGGTTTGTACACCTACTTGCAACAGGGATTGCATTTCCACCACCAGCACACTGGAGACTGTCTGTGTCACAAATTAGTTCCTAGCATCCTGTGATTTGCACACATGCTCGCCCAGTGTCTGAAACGGCACCCCCTCTCCTTTCGGCCCACTAGTTATTATCCTGTCATCTTCTTTGCTCACTTTTTTCTCACCCCTTTCTGACACTTTGCTCCTCTGCTCCTCTCGCCTCTCCTCTCCTCTCCACTTTCCTCCTCTCTTTCTCCCTTACTCTCTTCTCCTCTCCTCTCCTCTCATCCCAACAGGTGGAGCTGAGCCCCTGCTGCCGCCGCCCTCCCCTCCAACACCATCCCCACCTGTTTCCAAAACAGCCACTCGCTCTCTCTCCTCGCTGCCACCAGCACTCTCAGCTGCCCTTGTTCTTGCCACCTCCGCCGCCCTGCTTGCTCTCAGCCTCCTGTAGAGCCTGACTTCCTCCTGGATAATTTTTAGCCTCTTGTATGCTACTGTGTTTCTGGTGTGCTTGTGAGAGCGTATAGCATGTCTTGTGGCGCACTGTTGTTGCCATCATACAGGTGCACATACTGTATTGGCTCGACAGGCTGCCTTGTATGACCTTTGGTGCTGCCTCTGAGTACTGTTTCTCTGAAATGGACTAAATACGGTATGATGATCCTATGGGCAGCAGCAGTACGGTAATAAAGCCCCTTTTCAACTAAAAGGTTTAAGTGTTAGAATAAGCAGGGGAAACCTAACCCTAAAGTGTTGTACTCACTAAGGAGTGACCCTACTGTAGCCTAGAGATACAATTGTAATTTGACATTAAGGTGGTGATGGCTAGCGGTAGTTGGCCCTCCACCTGCTCCCACTCCTACTGCAACTTCTCAACTGTCAGATCAGTGTACCGTGTACACATGGGTGGGCTTGAAGACGGCTGTGGAAGGATGCCTGCCAGATCATGCCATTTCATATCATAGGTTGTTATGTCACCACATTGCTTGTCATGTCATGGCAACTGCTTGCCATATAGCTATTCTCTTCTCTCACTCCACTCTCTGCTACCTGCATAGCTGCACTACTGTGGTATCTCGAAAGAAGTTACCGTATGAATACTCAGCAGCAGGGTTTTTTTTTCTGAAAAGCAGCAGCAGGAAGGAAAGACCCTGCCATTGCCACCAGGCGGCAAGAGAGAAACAGTGGAGGAGCCAGGTGTACACCAGGGTATAAAATTTCTGATTCATAAGACAAAAAAATCACAATATCTGCTCTGATGCATCAATCTTGCTCAGACACTGCGTCAGTCAGACCCTCCAGCTGCTCCTGGCTCATATGTGTCAAATGTTGATATTTGTGATAGGCTGTAGTGAGTTGCTCCTTAGATAGTATAACACAGTTAGGGTTGCTTTGTACTGCTTTGTTTCCTAAACTTATCATTCCGTTGCATTCTACTCTTGAGATGGTATCATAGTAGGTTCGAGTTCCTTAGCCCTAGCCTAACCCTAGCCTAGCCCTAGCGCCCTCCGCGCCCACGCGCCCTCTGCGTCTTAGCGCCCTCCGCGCCTTAGCGCCCTCCGCGCCCTCCGTGCCCTCCGCGCCCTCCGCACGTTCGTGCCCTCCGCGCCCTCCGCGCCCTCCGCACGTTAGTGCCCTCCGCGCCCTCCGCGCCCTCAACGCGAGCCTAGCCCGGCCCCTCCCACTGTCGCGCCCTCCCCCTGCCCGTCGCGTCGCCCCCCCTCCCCTTCCCCTGCCCGTCGCGTCGCCTCCTCTCCCCCTGCCCGTCGCGTCGCCTCCCCCCCCCCTGCCCGTCGCGTTCGCCTCCCCTTCCCCTGCCCGTCGCGTCGCCTCCCTTCCCCCTGCCCGTCGCGTCGCCTCCCCTCCTCCTGCCCGTCGCGTTCGCCTCCCCTTCCCTTGCCCGTCGCGTCGCCTCCCTTCCCCCTGCCCGTCGCGTCGCCTCCCCTCCTCCTGCCCGTCGCGTTCGCCTCCCCTTCCCCTGCCCGTCGCGTCGCCTCCCTTCCCCCTGCCCGTCGCGTCGCCTCCCCTCCTCTTGCCCGTCGCGTTCGCCTCCCCTTCCCCTGCCCGTCGCGTCGCCTCCCTTCCCCCTGCCCGTCGCGTCGCCCTCCCCTCCCCGCCCCTTCCCACCGTCGACAACCTCCTCCCCGCCCCTGTCCTACCGTCGCGCCCGTACCCTCAGACGTAGCACTCCCAGGCTCAGCACCCCCAGACTCAGCACCCCCAGACTCAGCACCCCCAGGCTCAGCACCCCCAGACTCCGCAACCCCAGGCTCCACACCCCCAGGCTCCGCACCCCCAGGCTCCGCACGTTCAGGCTCAGCACCCCTAGCAGGACGAGAGTCGACAGCTACCTCGACAGGCTCAACCGGGTCTACCTGGGACACACCTGAGGGAGCGGCACCCTGAGGGGGGAGGGGGTCTACCACAGCAGCACCTGGCGCGAGGAAGAGAGGCGGGGGGGGGGAGCGGGGCAGTGCGGTAGGGGAAGAGGCGGTAGTAGGGCACCGACTCGTCAAAAGTGACGTCCTGAGAGGCCAGGACACGGCGCGAGGTGGCGTGGTAAAACTGCCAACCAGACGCGTCCGGGACAAAGCCAAGGAAGACACAAGGAACAGCGCGGGAGGAGAGCTTGTCCGCGGACGTATCGCGAACAAAAGATCGAAAACCCCAGACCCGAAAACGCGACGCATCGCCAACCTCTCCCGTCCAACGCAGTGTCGGCGAAGTCTCCGGAACGGAGACACGGGGCCAGAGGTTGAGCTGATGCGCAGCGTATCGGACCGCAAACGGCCACAGAAAATGGGGGGCAGCCGCATGGATCAAGGAGGTACGAGCGACCTCCATGACCAAACCAATGCGGCGCTCAGCAACCCCATTCTGCTGTGGAGAGGCCGGAAGCGTGAACGACTGCTCAATGCCCTCCCCCTGACAGAAGGCCCTCAAGAGGTCGGAGGAAAACTCCCCACCTCTGTCAGAGTGCAGACGCAGGACAGGAAAGTCCGAGTGGAACCTCTCGCTGAGCTGGAGACGGACAGCGCGGATCCAAGGGATCAATGTTGGTGCAACCCTACGGTTTGCACTCGGCTTGTTGTCCGTGTGCGTGAATGTGTGTGTGTATGGAATGGTATGAGGGCATGGGATAATATATATTTCATGCTTATAATTGTGTGTGAATGTTGAGTCATGATGTCGAGTGTGTGTGTCGAGTCAATAGCGAGTTATCGCTAGACGCGTGTTACGCGGTCGTTTGTGTCTCGCGCGCGGTTTCTATTTTGTCGTGCGCGGTTTCTATTTTGTCCTGTGTCGAACGTTCGGCGTGTCGCAGGTGTGTGCAGCAGACCCATCAAGAACTCAAGGATGAGTTTGTGATGAAGAGCCCGAGCTTTGGTGTCAAGCCTCAAGTGATTTCGAAGCTCGCCAAAAGGGTACACCTCAAGATATTGAAGATAGTTACATTACTTTGTGTAGTGTAACATTTCACTTGGTGTAGGCCCTAGTGAAGGGTAGTTTCGAGACCCTTCGTGGTTGGGGACAGTGTGGCACTGTTCCACATCACTGTACCTCGGCTCTTGGGGTTTGTAGGAGCTGGGAGTCATTCCCAACTCGTAACTCTTCCTATCTTGTGTTCTAAGACTATAGTGGCTGCCATAGTACCGTTCGTTCAAACCAACGCTGTGTCGTCAATTCTTTATCAAATCATGCAATCTAAATTGCTAATTGTAGACGACGTGAAGACGCTCCAGATCCAATTTGAATCAAGTCATTTGCAGCTGTGAGCAGAACGTTATCAACGTTTGAAGCCGCTGTGCAGAAATCCGTCTGTGCTCTCTATCTTTCGTTTTAGGCACATTCAAGCCTATTGTGACTATAACAAGTGGTATCAGAGCCCCTTGGAGCAGTTTCGACAATGTCTGGACCTGAAGAAAGGGGTGGCAGAGGTGCTGGTGGCAGTGGAGAAGCTCAAGCTCAAGGCCAACCCCGTGATTCAGCCATGGCGCCCATGCAACCAAGTCTTGGCCCACCTAGGGATGAGCCTAGGGTATTTGGGCTTGACAAGTTCAACGGTGACAACTTTGCTGAATGGTCCTTCAAGATGGAGAACATCTTTGACCACTATGACCTGCTGGAGGTGATGGAAGGAACGGAGAAGCGCCCCGAGAACGACCCGGAGAAGAGCCCGTGGGTGCGGAAGAGCGCACAAGGCTATCTCCTACTTGGGCAAGCGTTGGGGAGCAGTCAGATCCGTCACATCAAGCCATTCCAGCGTGAACCAGAGAAAGGACCAAAGGCATGGGCTGCTCTCAAGGGTGTACATGCTCCTACAACAGCGGCGGTAGCGGTGGTGTTGGAACGGCAAATGGCGGCACTACGAATTGAAGAAGACGAAGCGGTTGAAGAAGGGGTGCAGAAATTCTTCGACTTGTTGACGCGGCTTGAGGGAGCTGATTTGAACTACAGTGAGCTCCAAAAGAAGACCAAGTTGCTGGCCTTACTCCCAGAGTCATGGTCCTCGCTCATCATCAACCTTAATCGCGACTTGCCCCGCCTCTCGCTTGAAGACGTGAAGCGAGCTATCCTTCAAGAGGATTTCCGCCGCCGTGAGTTGGCGAGTGCGGATGGCGCTGGGGCAGCGAGCATCGGCCGTGGATATGGTCGAGGAAGAGGCAGAGGACGAGGGGGAGGAAGGTTTGGTGGCAGCAACTTCGGCGGAGGCCGCAGGAGTGGCGGTTACGGCAGCGACGACAAGAGCTACGGACGCGGTCGCGGCCGATTCGACGGCGAGTGTCACTATTGCCACAAGAGCGGACACATGTGGCGCGACTGCTACAAACTCCATGATGGTTGGACCCCTGCTCAAGGCCAAGAGGGTAGAGGAGCAGGAGGAGGGAGAGGACGAGGCCGTGGAGGCCGTGGCGGTCGCGGTGGCGGAGCTGCAAACATGAAGAGCGGAGACAACGACAAGGACCCGAGCGACGATCGATACCCGGGTCTATTCTACTTCGTGTCGACGCAAGTACCGGCTGGTCCAGAGAAGGATGAAGGCTTTGAGGAGCCAGCAGCTGTGGGGAAGGTGACCCTACACCCCCTGGACTATGGGGTGATTGATAGTGGCGCTACCTATAGCATGACACCTCGCCCGGACTTGCTCACCGAACTCGAGCCGTCACCGGTGAAGCATGTCACATCGGCTTTGGGGCAGCGAGCAGAGGTGAAAGGCATGGGCAAGGCCATGTTCAAGGGTGCTGATGGGAAGATGGTGGGCCTCAAGAACGTGCTTTGGGTGCCCAGCCTTGCTGCAAACCTGATTTCCGTGCGGCGGTTGGCAAAGGCCGGCATGGACACGAACTCGAAGGGAGCCAAGACCTACACCGCAAGGCTTGGCGATCGAATTCTTTGGGACCTTCATGAGGACAGGGATCTCTACAACGAGATGTGGCAGATCCTAGTGGTCCCTATGCCTAAGGAGAGGCAAGTGGCAGCAAGCATCAGCACCAAGGATGGAGCGGTCGGTAGCGACGATGGCGCGAACGGTCGCGCTAAGGAGAATGCGCTCAAGAAGAGCAAACCTGGAGGGACCAGCAAGTTCAGTGAACCTAAGGAGAGTGGTGCAGCAACCAAGGAGCAGCAAAAGGGTGAGGAGAACCCAGAGGCAGCAGCGGAGGAGGACTACGGAGAGAGTATGTGGGGCGCTATTGCGAGCGCGGCATTCTCCAATCCAACTTCGGCTACGGGGGAGTGTGATTGGCTCACCTTGCATCGGCGCATGGGGCATGTGGCCCTGCCCATCTTGCAGCAGCTAGTGAAGAATGAGATGGTTGCTGGCATACGTGTGAAGGGGGAGCCCGATGAGGTGCTTGGCTGCCCGACGTGCATTCAAGCCAAGTTCACCCGGTTTCCGTTCCCTAGTTCGGAGGCAACGGCAAAGGCACCGCTTGATGAGGTGGTGATGGACGTGGTGGGCCCCCTGAAGCTTGGAGCTGCTGGAGCTGAGTATTTTCTCACCATTGTCGACGTCTACACCCGCATGACTTGGGTGTACGTGCTGGCCAAGAAGAGCGACGTGGCTGAAACGTTGAAGACGGATTGGTTCCCGATGGTGGAGCGGCAACAAGACCGTCTAGTCAAGTCAATCCGCACCGATCGAGGGGGAGAGTTCCTGAGCAAGGAGTTTGGGTTGTGGCTGAAGAAGAATGGTATTCGGCACTCCCTCACCATGCCATACTCCCCTGCAATGAACGGCATCGCCGAGCGAGCGAACCGCACAATCACGGAGGCGGCACGCGGGTTGCTCATTGAAGCCGGGCTACCCGACTATTTCTGGCCTGATGCGGTGCGGAGCGCGTGTGTGGCCAAGAACAGAGCCTTGACTCATGTGGGAGCAGACAAATGGGTGCCCTATGTGGAGTGGCTAGGAAGGAAGCCAAAGGTGGATATGCTTCGGGTGTTCGGGTGCATGTGCATGGCGCTCGTGCCTAAGCATCTTCGGCACAACAAGCTTGGTGCCAAGGCGGTGTGGGCCGTGCACTTGGGCATGGCTCAAAACAGCAAGGGATGGCTTCTTTGGGACCCATTCACCAAGAAGTTCTTGGTGAGCAGGGACTGCAAGTTCATGGAGAACTTCATGTACAAGGATTGGAAGGCGGAGAATGAGGCGAAGATAGGCGTGCGGTTTGGGGAGGTGAAGAGTTCCGTTTTGGAGCATGTGGAGCTGCCTTTGGAGCTGAGCAGCGGCAGCACAACCACAAGGCAATCCTCCCTTGTGAATGGGGGAGAGGAGGCCAATGATGCAGAGGAAGAAGAGGAGGAGGTGCAGCAAGTGAGCGAGCGTGCACCGTCACTCCCTTCCTGTACTACGAGTGCTCCACGGATTCGAGCCACACCGCAGCAACGCCAAGGCCTTCAAGTCCCTGCAGCTGAGGAGGAAGGAAGGGGGAAGAGGAGAGTTCAACCCCCTAATAGGCTGACCTATGATGCGCCGGGAAAGCAGGGCAAGACAGCCCTGGCCGGAGCGGCAATGATGGTCGGAGACGACGAGGAGAGTGACTACGAGGAGTGTGCCTTCGCGTTCTTCTCTCCGGTGGAGATGCCGGAAGAACCAGCAACTCTCAAGGAGGCTTTGGAGAGTAGTGATGCTGAGGAGTGGAAGAAGACCATGGAGAGTGAGCTGAAGAGCATCGAGGAGAA